AATTGAACCAGACAGCAAAAGAATCGGTTAGGTCACCTCACTGGATTCCTTTAAGTGGAAGACTACCTATTAAGAATGCTTCAATCTGGATTTCTCCCCAAAAAATCAATTGCAAAATTTCCTGTAGTTTTGGCATGCAAAACATGATAAAACTTATTGTAATCACCAGAGTAAATGTCATACTAAAAAAAAAAAAAATACTCCCGTAAAGTACATGATGCAGGTCCAGCCACTCTGGGTTCTTCCTTAACTAAAATTACATGCAAGCCACATCTACTCCAAAATTGCCTTTGAAAAGTAACTCACTCTTCTCCAGATGCTTTCCATGATCTCTTCCCATTGCACATTTGAGATAATCAAAACTGAAGCCCAAGATTATCTAGCGATGTTGCTCCTAAGCAATCAGCATAACTGAGAATATTCACAGGTTGGAAATAGACAGAAGCTTTCACATCAAAGAGGAATACCGTAATTTCCGTGTATAAGACGACTGGGCATATAAGACGACCCCCGACTTTTCCTGTTAAAATATAGGGTTTGGGCTATACTCGCCGTATAAGACTACCCCTCTTCCAATGCACACCAAATAAAAATTAAAAAACATCAACTGGCTCACCCACAATATAAAAGCAGCTGTGCTAGACCAAAAATGGCCCCTGCAACAAGCAGGAACCTCACACAGCCACAAAAAGCCCCCAAAAAACAACTTTCACACTTCACACACACAAAATTCCACATACAGCTTTGTGAGATTTTGTGTGTTTGTGTAGTTAGAGTGAAACCTACAGAAACACACTAAATCTCAGAAAGCTGCACAAATATTATTTTATTTTATTTTATTTTTATATGAAAACTAAATTTAAAACTTCCTAAACTTTAAATGGCTGTCTAAAAAAGAACAACTAAAAAAAACCCCAATTAACTATTTTTTTTAAAGCTCCCAAAGGGGAAAAAACTTACCCAATACAACAGGGGTCTCCAACCTTGGCAACTTTAAGACTTGTAGACTTCAACTCCCAGAATTCCTCAGCCAGCTTTGTTTTGCTGGCTGAGGAATTCTAGGAGTTGAAGTCCACAACTCCCTGCCTGCTTGATTGCAGGCAGGGAGTGGCTTGCTGATGGAATGGATTCAGGCAAGCGAAGCAAGGCAAGCGTTGCGACTAGCAGCTAAGGTAAGCAAGCTGGAGGGGGAAAACTTTTTTCCTTTTACATGGCTCTGGTGATCCCAGCAGTGTTGCCTGATTAGCAGGCAATGCAGCTGGGATCGTCAGAGCTTGGATCGCCAGAGCCATTTAAGGCTCGTCAGAGCCTTTCGGGCTGGTCTGCCTGGTTACAGGAGAACGACCCCCGGCGTATAAGACGACCCTCGACTTTTGAGAAGATTTTCATGTGTTAAAAAGTTGTCTTATACGCTGGAAAATACGGTAGTATTCCTTCTCCCCTATTCCTCCCAAATAACCAAAACTATAAGGTACTCAATAATGGTCTCAACCTACAGTATAGATTTACTGGTGACAAGAACTATATATTGCTATGATCAACACAATTTATAATTTACTCCAATCTTGGTAGACTTAAGAATGGTGAAGAAATAATGATGAAGAACAAAGAAAATGAAAGTTACTTAACAAAATCCTATGCTGACTCCCAAAATCATCTTGGAATAAATGACTAATTTAATTAGACTAATTTAATTTACTTGCAAGCTGCAAAGAGGATTTTATGTGCAAATTGCTAAAGGGGAATAAGTTCTAAAGAGTTTACTTACTTATTAAATTTACAATATATCCCACTTATAAGATTTTTATCCCATCATTATTTCTTTATAAGTACCTCAAGGTGACAAACATAAATAATGTTGCTTTTGCCTCCTATTTTTCCAACAACCCCCCTTTTGGGTGAGTTGGGCTAAGAGAGAGTGATTGGCTCAAATTGGCTTTCATGTCAAAAATGAGACTAGAACTCTCAGTCTCCTGGTTTCTAGTTTGTGCCTTAACCACTAGCCCACACTGGTATACTCTTTTCTTCCATTTTTCTCCATAACAACTCTGGGAAGTAGGTTGGACAGACAAAAAGTTACTGGACCAAAATTCCCTCAATGAGCTTTTGTGGACTAAGACTTGGCTTACCACAATCCTACTCTAACACTTTAATTAATGCATCACATTGGCTCTCAGTTTATAATGTTTATGTTGCTAAAACACTTTACCAGAAATAAGACAGATTTATTAGCTGACTTGATAAAACTTCAAGGTTTGCAGGAGAACAAAGAAAATCTACAGGGAAAACAACCAACAGCATACTGGTGGTCCTCACGTTATGACTACTTGCCTTTTATGGTTGTAAATTGTGATGGTCATAAATCTGATCATCCATTTGACTTAATCTGATTTTATGACCATTTTTGCAGTGATCATTAAACACAGTGGTTATAAAGCAAACGAGGCAATCATTAACTGAATCAATAGTTTGCTATGGGCTCATTTAGCCGGAAACTGGAACTAAATGCCGGTTTTCAGCAAAACTATTTTAAAAAATGGTCATATGACCATGGAATGTTTTAAAATAGCTGTAAATGGAGGTTGGTTGCTGAGTGTCTGATGTGCAGTCATATGACTGCCGGGGGTGGGGGGGGGAACCATCGGAACTTTGAATCTCGGTTCTAAGTAACCCCAGAGAGGTCCATCATAACTTTGAATAGTCACTAATAGGAACAAAGATTGCTCAACAATTATGGAATCCTGTAACTGGCTGTTACAGAGGGAATAGAATGGAATTTTTAAAGAGGATCATTGAATGGAAATAGCTTACTATACAATATTTTACTGCAACATAGTTAAATATCTGGACAGAAACAACGTAACACATGTGATCAGGCTATGCCAACTTGTTAACTCTTATTTCAATTTGTCAATTCACCTCATATAAGTGTTATCTGAAAGTAGAACTGTTCAAGTTTGTATCAAATTTTGAAATCCACCATTTTCCAAAATAAAGCAAAAGTATACCTCCTTTTTACACAAAAGTAACATTTTCATAACCATTAAAAAAATAAAGCAAGAAGTCATATCAGATTCATTTTACATTTCAAGACTGCGTCAAATGGGTTTTTAGAAAATATAAAGAAATTATACTTATTACCATTTAAAGTGATCTAGCTATTTAAATGTAAACATCCATAGTGGATGAAATTTATCTCAGGATACAATTCATACTCTATTCTGGAGAAAATCCTTTCTGCTCTCATTGTTAGATGTGTGTGTGTGTGTGTGTGTGTGTGTATTGCCTGCTGGATGGCATTTTTATTACTTTTAATAAAACAAGTTAATGCATTTTTCAAGCATGATGCCTAATTTTATCATCACAAGAAAAGTATTACACCCATCTGTAATGCAATCTAATTTGAATTAACATGAAATCACCCAGCAGAAATTTGAAGCTTTGCAAAGTAAAAATAATCCAACCAGCAGTATTTTCAGCCCTGTTACTACTATCCTATTTTTAAAAACAAAGAAAGCTTGCTTGAAATGTCCAATTACACAACTTCTGTTTGCTGCAACTCCCAATTAAGCTTTCAAACATGTTTTTTGAAATAAATCCTAAAGGCTCATTTTGCCTGGAAACAGAGTAGGGGGGAATAGAACAAAACAAAAATTGATTAGATCTTTGTTTTTGTTGCTGTTAAATGGATTTTTTTTTCCTCTCCTCCAACTAAAGAGGATGCTGGGAAATATACAGAAGGCCTTTTCAAGAGGGCACCTTACTCTAGTGATAATTTCTTTGGTCTTTTGAAGAATGTTAATTATGCCCCAAACTTTCTTTGGTAAGAAACAAATATGCCTGTTCCCAATCTGATGCCCTCTAGATAGGACAGAACTATTACTGCCTTCACCTTATTATTCTCTTACCCTCCAGCCATTCTAGCTGGGAAAATAAATGAAGCTGTAGTGGAACGGATCTGGAGGGTAGCAAGGCAATGCTAGATGGTGATCATAGGCGAGCAAGCACAGCATGCTTGAAATGTACCATATTGGGAAGACTAGAATAGGAAATTATTCTTCACTCAGTAGGCATTGAGGTCAACCAGCAGACCATCTGGTGAAATACATAATTAATTAACATATGGTTATTTTTCTCTTTCGCCTAAGAAAATTAAGCTTTAATCCTTTACTTATGCTTTACTCTTCTGTGTAAGTAAGATAGTAGTTTTACCTCTCAAAAATGGTCAGTGCTCTGAATTCAGAGTACACCTGCCAGGATTTCACATTCACTACATGTTGATATAGATTTACATATTTCTAGTGATAGAGACATTTAGAAAGTTTAGGATATTTTCCCCCTCCCTAAAGGTTGATTGATTGTGTGGTTGATTAAATTGTTGTCAACTCTTAGTGAGCAGGTAATTTTTTTTCCAGTCGATCTGCCCCGCCAAAGGCTACTCAAGACACTCTATCCAAGTTAGCCATTGCTACCAAAGATAATCAAAGTATTCTATATTTATCAGGCTTTCAAACAATAGTATAGTAGTAGTGTAATTTATTTGCCCAGCTAAACAGATACCCGTTTAATACCGTCTTCAGGCGAGCTATTTTAAAAGGGACATTTTTATTCAAAGCCTGCCTAAGTCTTTTTATTCCCCCCCTCCATCTCCTCCCACATTCAGTGATTTATCCTTAAGAGAATTTAAAAAATAAAATAAAAAATTACGGGACCGTTTTCCCCAGAAAAGGACACACAATCCCCGAGTCTGAAATATGCAGAAGCCATCACTGGAAACATCCAGCCTTATGCAATTGCTTTCTTTCCCACCCGAAGGCATCCTTGCCTGGAACCGAGTCAAAAACTCGGGCAGCTCCTCTCCTCTTTCGCTACCCTGCCAAACATCCGCGAAGGGCGGGCGGGAGGAAGAGCGAGCCCGGAGGAGACCCGAGTCTGAGCCCAAGGAAGCGCCCTTCGGCCGGCCGACGGAGGCCACTCTCGCGCCATGGCGGTCCAATTACCTGCGCGGCCATGAAGGAGAGGTCCATGGTGCTGGGGGAGTCAGAGCAGGTGCTGCTGCTGCTGCTGCTGCTGGTCGAGATGATGGTAAAGGTGGTAGCGAGGCTGCTATCGCCGCCGCCCGGCCCGGACGCCTCTTTGGGTTGCTGGGGAGCGGCCTCCCGCAGGACCAACTTGGGGCGCGTTACCAATTCCAGCTCACTGGGATGGCGGCGGCAGAGCCGTCGCGGCTGCCCGGCTGCAATCAGCTTTCTGGGAACATGGTCGGCCGACAAGCTTGCCAAGCGACGGCACCAGCGCCCGCAGGATCGACGCCGAGGCTCCAGTCTCGGCGAGAAAAAAAAGCCGCGCGTGGAGTCGCCTGCCTGCTTGCGCGCCCCGGGTTGGTCACGCCCCTCCCCACGGAGACTCAGAGTCCGGAAGGGGCGAGAAAACTACCGCTCCTTCCAGGGAGGCTGCGAGGAAGAGAACGTGTGTGTGTGTGTGTGTGTGTGTGTGTGTGGAATTAGCCGCCAGGTGGCTTCTGCCCACCACCCACTGACTGATGTAGTCGTGAGTCTCCCCCGCCCCCGGAAGCACGTTTCCTTTCTGGCAGCAGACGGCTCGTCTGGGACGCCCGACTCAAATTATCTATGGTCGTCGGATACAAGAGCGTGTTTTTGTTTTGATCTAATAAGCGACTTAGTCAACTGAAAGGCAGGCGTATTGCCTTCAACAGGTGTCAGCCGCTGCTACTTGTTCAAGCGGGTAGCATCTTTACTTAGGAATGAAGTTCACACTTGAGGAACTGCTGCCCAGCCTGATATGGGAAGAGTACGTTTTCTTTCTGGTTGAACAAATCTGACAGATTTACGGGAATAATCCAAATGAAGAGGACAAGGCTTCGGTATACTGAACTGGAAGGAATGGTTTAGGAAACTTGGGGACCCCATGGCGGAATGAGGTACCCAATTCTATGCTAGAAAGAAATAGCGTTTGGGGTTAAGGGAATTGATACTCAAATGTCCAAAACTAAATTGACAATATCAGGAAAATTGGGAAAGGTACATACAGCAAAGAATTTTGGCTAAAAGACAATACACGGTCAATCAAAATATGCTACGGCTTAGGCTACAAAAGGGAACAAAGGAGAAAATATATGAACGTTAGCAATGCAAATAATAATAAACTTTGAAATAGCAATATAAAATACACATATATTGTAGATAAAACAATAACATTATCCCAAATGGTTTTAAAATGTGTAAACGTCTCTTACAGATCCCTGTCAAATCTGAAAAAATATAGTATAATAACACATGGCATGTACACACCAAAGCACAAAGTTAAAAAATAGCCAATGCTCCAGTTCTGACCCTGAGATTTTTCTGATTATCTATACTCAGGTAGACTCAATTGTTCCTGTTTATTCTTTGCCTGATCAAATTATTCTTTGCCTGTCAACTTTGTATGTCATTTCAGGGTTGATGTTGCTAAACAGAAATTGCTTACAGTGTTTATTGTTGTATCCTGTTTTGCTGGTCAGGAGTGTGGCATTTTGGGCACTTCAAGATTTTATATAAAATTGGCAATACAGAACTATCATACAGATGTTTGATGGTTTCTACCTGTCCTGAATCACAAGGACATACTCATAATGAATATAGTGTATTTTTGTATCTTGCAGCTAGAAGTCCTGAAGGAAGAGTGTTTCCAAAGCGCCTGAAGGCAAGACAAGAAGCAATGAATGGAAACTAATCAAGGAGATTAGTTCCACCTGGAACTAAGGAGAAATTTCCTGACAGAGCAATTAACCACTGGACTTGGTTTCAGAAGTTGTAGGTGCTCCATCACTGGATGTTTTAAAGAAGAAATTGGACAACAATTTGTCCAGAATGGTATAGGGTCTCCTGCTTGATCAGGGAGTTAAACTAGAAGACTTCCAAAGTGCCTTCCAACTCTTGTTATGCTGTTACATATTAGCTTGATTTCATTTTTGTAATGTAGCTCTTGAAGTTGAAGGTTCCCTCACTTCTTGTTCATCTATAAGCAGCTTCTTAGTGTTTGCTGACCCCTTTCTCATTTTATGATTAGCAGCTTCATCAGTGCTGAGAGCGTCAATGGGTATGTAAATTGATTAGGTTATTGTCAGCCTTTTAAAGAAATTTTAAGAATAAAAAGTGAGAAGTAGTAGCTTTCCTCTAAATAGATGGAGTGATAGTTCATTATTATATACTGTGTTTCCCCCAAAATAAGACCCTGTCTTATATTTTTTTGAACCCCGAAATAAGCACTTGGCCTTATTTTCGAGGAGGTCTTATTATTTGGGGGCATGTGGAGCAAGATGGGGCTCCTCTTGCCGTCTTAACTGATTTCCAGCTCTGCATTTAAATATTTTTGGGAAGGGCTTATTTTCAGGGGGAGGCTTATTTTCAGGGAAACAGGGTAACAAATTAGTTTGTATATCAGAATCCAAATCTGGGTCAATATCAGAGGTAAGAAAAAATCTATACTGCTTTAATTCTTGAATCTTGTTGTAGGTGTGATCTTATAGGGATAATTTCACCTTGAAACTGAATTGAACATGAAAGTTGGGAAGCTATACTCTCCTCTAAATTGTTGTCCAGTTATTATCCTGAGGGATAAGAGATGTCAATGGAGAGGTTTGTTTTAAAATCAGGAGTCTATTCTGAAAGTCTGTTAACTGAGCATAACAATGAGTCACTGGAGGAGAGAAAAATTCTCTCTACACTGAAGCATTGGTTTCTGTAGTAATTATCTTCTAGATAGAAGGCTGTAGCCTCAAGCAAGTGAGGAGAGTGCAGCTGAATCAGACTGGATTGGGGCATACAGTATTTAAAAATTCTGGAAGAGAAAACACTATATTTGTTGAAGAGTCTGCCATTCTAAACATATTCTGTACATTGCATGATTTATGAACAAGATTCTTTTAAACCCTAGTAAACTAGGCAGAAAGTGAAATGTATCCAGATCTATGTGCTTGGGATGACAGTTTAGAAGCTTACTTAGCAGATTTATTACGACTGTCTGATGCGCAGAATTCCTAGCCAACAAGCTATTTAAAGGGATAAATAGCAGAGGCTAATTCTTTGAAGCCCTTGTTTTATTTCCAGACTGTTTTTAGTCCCATTGTTAGATGTTGTGACATAGCAACTACTAGCACCAAGCATTGTTAGAGCTTGAATGAGCTTATCAAGTTTAAATTGGATGTCATTTAGAGAAAAGAATGTTTGTGTGGCCTTTCCTTTCTGTTCCCTGCAATATAGTATGGCTGATGGCAACTAGAATTATATCAAACTTTGTTGGGCAATATGGAGTTGGGCAGGTGTTATCTTTCCTCCATCTACTTTAGAGAGGATGTGGAGTCTTCTTTTTCAAGATAGCAAGCTTGTTTTTAGGTAAAGGGGTACTTACAGGTCTGTGAGAAATATGGTGGGCTAGGAAAGATATAATTTGTTTGTTCCTACCTTGATTTGCTGTTTCCCTATCTTTTTGTGCATTGTTGAATACTATCCGGCAGGCCTGGGACTGTTGATCCCGCTACGGTGATCTTGTGAGACCCGGCCATGAATTGGAGTGTATGGGTTTTAATGTTTTCTTTTTAAACTTTTGTACGGGATATTTTTCGCATTGTTTTATTCTTTGTTGTTAGCTGCCCAGAGTCCCTCGGGAGTTGGGCGGCATAAAAAATGCGACTAATAAATAAATAATAAATAAATCTGGGCTTTTTGTCAGTCTTTTCTTCTTAGTTCTAGGTTGTTTCTCTCCTTGATTTCCTTTGGTGGTCATTTCCAAAGTAATCTATTTTAATTTTTAGGTTGGCATTTTCTTCCCTTATATAGATATCATTACCACCTCTCCAGCAAGTTGATATTTCCATGTCACTACATTAGCTTTAGAGGCCTCACTACATCATCCTTATATAGTTAGTTTAAGCTTGCCAACGGCTCCCTTCAAAATGAGATTTTAAAACTTTCTATTCAAGGTAGGATACCAACAAAATCTGAACTGAAAATCAAAGAAGTGTCTAGAAGAAGCATGCTAACACAAGTCATTACACTGTAAAATCATGAACAACCCCATTGCCACTATCTGTGGGCTAATGAAGTTGGGTTAGCCTATAAAGTAGACCTGTCTACCAATAGTGGGTTCCTCTTACCTTTGCTACCAATTCGGAACCGGGAGCATGCGTGAGTGAAGTGCATGCGCAGAGCGTCCATGATGACATCCGGGCGGGTGGGCGGAGCCTCCCACCGCCGCCAATACCAGTTTGCCCAAACTGGGGCAAACCGGTAGAAACCCACCTTGCTGTCTACCCAGATATTTAAGAGACAAAGGAGAACAAGGAAAGGAGGAAAAAGGAGGACATGCTAATTTAATATTTGCCCTACATTTATTGGAGGGAAAGAGATTCTAAGTGAGTAAACAAGCACACAATGGGAATACATTGAAAGGAATATGCTGGCCTCAATTGTCTGCCTATGGTGTTCCTGGTTAGGAGGTAAAAGCTTTCAGCTGGTGACTAATTAAGGTCCTGTCAATTTCAGGCAGCAATACAAGCGAGCCTGAAGGTAATAATCAATTAATTGGGGTCACTGCTCAGAGCTTGTTAACTTGCAATTAGCACATATTAGGAAAGTGCTGCCTAATAGAAAAAAAAAGCTGCTCGAGGAGAGAAAGATGCTCAAAAAGTCAGACAATATTTGATTTTAAGACTATGCCTGCCAGATGGGGGTAGTCGAGAATAAAAAGGACACACCTTCCTTTTATTGGATGTCTGGTACCCTACATAGGTTTACTAGCCTTTGAGTAAAATTGTCTACCAACCCCCCTCATCCAGGGCCAAACAAACATTCTTATGGACCAAAGTTGTTCTGACCTAGGCTTCCTGAAACAGTAAAGAGCACACGATTAGTCCCAAAAACCCTTTTTATTTCAATGGCTGTGAATTCTGTTCATTCACAGCCCATAATGAGTCACAAATAGTTTGTAAAGCGTCTGACAGAAGTCTGCCACAATCCTTCGGGATAAGGCTGATAAGCACCCACCTTTATCTCCCTTGACATACTGCCAAAGACCTAATTGGCAATTAGCTTTGCAAGGCCACACAGAGCAGAGTCAAAACAGCTTCAGAATTTAAATCGACCAGAACGAACAAAGTTGCTTCCTGCACAGGCTCATGTCCCTTTGCTCCACCGTTATGTCTTATGGGAGGGGCCAATCATCTCCAAGCCTTACTCCTGAGTTGCCCCTTTTGTCTTAACTGTTCTTGCCTTCTGGCAGCTGTATGCATGCGTGCACTGGGAACAAACTCCCCCTGTTCCTCTGCCTCATTGATGTCAGACTCTGGAGGCTCCGGAGTCAGCACATAACTACCAGATGGCCCTGGCCCTATCTCTGCCTCCGATGCAGAGCCCTTGTCTGAGGATGATTTCCCATCATTTTGAAGTGGGAAAACAAAGAAAATCAAAACAATTGAAGGTCCACTGTTTAAAAAAGTAATCTTTTCTCTTTAAAATATTACCTTTCTCTTTTCCATGGACAACCTTTCTTTCTTTCTTTCTTTTTTTTAATTTGATTTATATGCCACCCTTCTCCGGAGACTCAGGGCGGCTTACAATGCGTTAAGCAATAGCCTTCATTCTTTTGTATATTTTATACAAAGTCAGCTTATTGCCCCCATAAACTGGGTCCTCATTTCACCTACCTTAGAAAGGATGGAAGGCTGAGTCAACCTTGAGCCTTGGAGAGATTCGAACCAGCAGAAATTGCAGGCAGCTGTGTTAATAACAGGGTGCACTAAACCACTGTACTATCAAGGCTCATGGCAGTGATAAAGGATATTATATCAGAATGTGGCCTTTTTCACATTTTACATTACATTTTGTACATTATCAACCATCATTTATATCTTAGTTTATATCTTATACAC